GTTTGGTGTATCCTTGACAATGTCACAGGTAAAAGTAGCTGTTCCCTTTGGTTTCACATGCTGATCTCTTATAGGTTTTACTAACCAGTCTCTTATCACTTCTGCATGATCAAAAATTACACAAAAATAAAGAATAACATATTTACCAAAAATAATGTTTCATGAACAGAAAAAAAATAGACAAAACCTATTAAAATCTTATCTGCCAGTTTATATTGTAAAACAGTAGGAAACAGCTTTCCTAATTTTATAAAACACACAAATACTCCATAGAGAAAGGAGAATATGATTTTGATTGCTTACCTACTACCTTAACACAAGATGAACATGACAGCTCAGAGTTTTCCACAGTCACAGTGTAGGTACCAGCATCAGCATCATCTGAATCAGTGATGGTGAGGGAATGTGACAAACCGATAATGCCCAGAGCAAATTTTCCAGGCTTGTCTTTGATAATCTTCCCATCCTTCCTCCAGACCACGCTTCTTTCTTTGTTAAGCTCACAGGTCAAGTACAGTGGTTGACCTTTAACCACAGTAACTTCTTCTTCAAGAGTTTTCACAAAACGCACTGGGAGTTCTGTGGAGAGCACACCATATTTTGATTTATCTCATTTATATACAGGAAGTGTGATGCAAAAACGTTTTACATATTAAATCAAAATACCTAATTATTGATGGAAATGAATGGATGCACCTAGCAATCACTGTAAAATCACGAAATACCAGTAACTGCTAGCTTTAGAAATAGCTAGATTTGTAAAGCTGAAACAGGAATTACCTTCAACAATGAGCTTGGCTGTAGAAGTCTTCTCTTTGTTACCCAGTCGTAATACACATGTATATTCACCAGCATCTGACAGCTGAACATCAATAATATGCAGCTTCCTGTCTTTGCCATCAGCAATAAATCTGTGCTTTGGGCTCTCTCGGATGTTACTTCCATCTTTCATCCAGCTGGTAATTGCAGTAGATGGTGAAATAAGGACTTCAAAGATTGCAGAAGATCCAACAGATTCTGCTTCTTTCAGTACTATGTCCTTCATCTCCTTGACAAACTTTAGCGGCACAGCCTTAAGTTGGTAAGTGAATGGAGGCTCTTCAGGAGGCTTTTCACCTCCACTGCCTGGTCTGAGTTTCCTTCTTTCTGCATCTGCTGGTGAAGGTGTCTTCTTGGCTGTAATTCATATTCAGAAATTAACATACAAATCCTGATATATTGCTTTTGCTTGTAGGTATTATGCATAACTGAACTGGAAGGGCCACCTTCTTCATCGATGCATTTCATAGGACTAACAATGTCTCTGCTTTTAATGAAACTTCAGTGGAGCTGGCTGAGACAGCAAGGTTAAATTTTGTACTATAACTAAGAATGCAAGCTCAAATGAAAAGACTGGCTCTGTATGACTTACTATGTTCTCCATGGATTTACTCTTGACTGCAAATCCAAAACCTCTATGAGGACCAAAATATGAGAGAACAATCATTCATTCATGTCTTCAATTTGAAAGGACGGGTGTTTTGAGCAAAACTGTGTTTAAATTTGTTTGTTTAATGGATATGGATTTCCTGGGGCAGGGTGGGGAGCGCTAAGTTGGGGTAGCCCTCCTACTCTGCCCCTTCCTTGATCTCACCAACAATTTGTTTCCTGGAAGGGTATGTAGGGTATTTTGAAAATAGTCTCATTAAAAGAGTGCCCTTAACAAATATTGCTTAAGATCATCCAGAACGTTATAAACTTCCTTCACGGACAGAGTCTAATTTAGATGAATGCAGATAATAATTTTTGCTTAAAGCATTATGTATAATTAGAGTTAAGGAATGCAAATCCATAGTAAGCATAGATATTTAATTATAACTCTTCTTACCTTTGATTGGGCTGATACCCTTTGGAGTTTCTTCTTTTGGCTTGGCCTCTGAAGTAGAACAATGATAATATTAGGAGTTAAATAAACAGTTAACAATTAAATAAAAAATAAATTAATTAAAATTAAGACAGAAATTTCTTTTACAAATAAGTTCTTCTCTTCCTTTGGATATATACACACACAGAGTGCAGGAAAATATAAACATATATATGTTTATACAACTTATATTGTTTATATTTTAATGGTATGCGGAGTATCTGGAAGACACATAATCTATATTGCAGCCTGAAATCCAGTTTAGGATATTCCACTCCCTCAGTTTCTTGTCCTGCCCATTATTTTGTAAAATTTTGCAATTTCCCGTCATTTACCTCTCAAATGGGCTCTTAGCCTTATGCTTTTAGATGGTAGTATCATTACACTGAAGGAGATTTCTTCTATTTCTTACCTATAAAAATCCCTACTTTACAGACTGTGGGTTTTTTTGTTTGTTTTTGGTTTGCTCAGATTTATTGGTTATAATTTTACATTTGTTTATTTGCAGGTTTTTTTCTTTAGTCTTGTTAGTTAAGTGATGCCAAAGAACACTAAGAAAGAACCTCATGCTTCTCTGCCACCTGCTCAAATGCAAACATTTGGAAAAAAAAAATTCACACAATATCGATTCAACTACCCTGGATAATCACAAAAATATCTGGTCTACCCACTTGTCAACCAGAATAGCTTAAGTACATATAAATTATATGTTATTCTAGAAAAAGCAGTAATGAAGTCAACAAAATATAAGTTGTATAAATTAAATATATGTTTCAGGATAGTGAAATATTCTCACAAATGAGAGATGTTCTGTTCGTTAGTTGCACAGGTTGTAATGGATCATCTCACACTTTTGAATATATTTTCTATGTGATCTGCTTCTCATCATCAGTTTGTGAAAAGTGATATAAAAGATACTTTAAATGGGAGAATGATACGAACGAAATGCAGGACATTTTATTGCAGTGGATGGAAAAACAAATACTAGAAGGAATGTGAGTTATTCTGAGAAGAAAATGGCACATAACATGATTTAGACAGTCTTACGAAAATGTAAGACTAAGACGATGAACGTAAATTATAGGGGTACACACACATACAGGTAAGACAAACATGTGACAAGAGTGGCTGAATGCCATTTCAGACAGCTGATAGAATAAATGGAAATGTTGTGGCGTTAAAGAAGAAAGACACATAAAAATGACAAATGGTATTTTCTCTGCAAATGGTATTTTCTGAAGGAAATGGTATGAGCGCTTTGTGGAAGAATTTGGCAGTGGTCTTCCTCACCTCGCTTTGCATGAGACTTTGCAGGAACATCCACAACTTCTTGTGACTCTCCAGGTTCATCCAAATCCAAGTTCTCACCTGAAAGGCTACTGGCCTGCTCAATCACACGAGCAGGTTCTGATTTCTGGTATTCTTTCTTTCCTATATTTAGGTCTTCTACTTTCTTGGGAGTGATGGTCTTACCTATGCTTGAGGTACAAGGAACTTCTCCATATGCAGTACTTTCTTTGCTTGATGGTGTTTTGTCTGAAAGCTTTTCTTTCTCTTTTCTGTTAACAGATATGATTTTTCCAACACCATATTTAATTATTGATTTTTCATCTGATGTACCTTCCATCCCTGGAAGTTCTCCTCCAGAAACCTTCGCTTCTTCCACAGACAAAGGAGATTTATTTTCTTCAGTTTCAACTTTGCTCACGTTTTTGAGAGCTGGAGGTTCCTCTCTTTCATCCTGAGTGGCTTGGAGAGCCAATTGAACTTTCTGATGTTGCTTTTTATCATGAATCCTTGATGGCTGAATAAGAACTTTCTTTACTGGCTCAAATTTGTCAGCAATTTCCTCTCTGGCTCCCTTTTCATATTTTCCTAAGGAAAGTTCACTTTCTGTTCCTTCTCTTGTAATCACAGTATCAAATTCTTTCTCCACAGGTATCTTTTCATGGGGGGTTGATTGTCTAAATTTTTCATTTTTTAAGTGGGTGCTGAAAGTAGTTTTGTCTCTCTTTTCTGATGTCATGCTTTTTCCTGTTTTTTTATCATTAAACTCAACTAACGATGGTCCTGAATGCTCTTCATAATGAGCTTCAGTGGGTTCTCCTTCCACTGCAGAATATTTTTCTCCAGCTTGCATTTCCTCTAGTCGTGGCTTAATCGATTGCTTAATGATTTGGCGAGTTTTTCCTCGGGAAGGCTCTGTACCATCAGCAGTGTGATCCAAGTTGACATCTTTTTTCATGATTGGTTCAGTCTCCTCAGGTAATTCAAAGGAATCTAGTTTTTCTAAAGGAAGGCCCAGGTGCTCATTTTTCTCATTGTTTTGGGTAGCTTCCATTTTCTTTACTTTATTACTAAGAATCTTATCTATAGGAATACCAGCTACTGTGGTATGAGATTTCTCTGTCTCATGGGCTTTCTCTTCTGTGTCATATTTCTTCACAGATTCTCCAAGAACTTCTTCAGATCTCTCTGAAGTAAAACATCCTCCTTCCTCTTCATTTTTAAGCAGAGATGTTTCAGCAACTCCTGTGTCTGTGATATCCTTTACAAATGAAGTTTTACCCTTAAGGGGAAATTCTTCAGGTTGCAATCTGATTTTTGATTTTCTGTCTTTTCTTAGAACACTTTTTTGGTCATGAGGCTCTGGGGAGATATATTTATGTACAGAATTTGATTCAACTACCACTTCTTTTTCATGCACAGGAATGTTTTCTTTGTGAGGAACTCTAGACTTGCCCAGCAATCTCTCAGGAACATCTTCCTTATGAATGACTAACTCAGTTTTGCCCAAATTTTCTTCTCTGGAATCTCTTTCCTTATGTTCGGATGCTATATAAATCGATTCCAATTCCTCATCAGGTGTTAATGGTTTATCCTTAACATAAGTGATGTGATCTATTGCAGCTTCTTCTTTCTCGTATGTAAGGGTAGGACTCTTTCTTGAATCTACATGTGTCATTTCCAGCTCCTCTCCTTCAGGAGCCATCACAAAATATTTAAGATCCTCTTTCTCCCGCTCATCTCCCTCTGGCTTCTGTGTTCCATAAACTCTTTTTGGTGAGATTTTTATTTCAAGTGGCTCTCCTGTCTGAATGTCCAAAATTGTCTCCTTAGGACTTGCAATTTCTTTAACATGCAAGCGTTTCTCAACTGAAATCTTCTTTAACACAATTGTCTCAATCTCCTCTTCTTCCACTGGGGGCATTTTACCTTTAAGCTTTAGTATAGTTGGTGCATCAGGCTTTTCTGCAGCTATAAAGGTTTCAGATGTAATTTAGAGAGTTAAAATCCATAAGAATAACCACAAAGAACAATATATTTTAAGACAATATTCCCTTCTATACCTGAAATAAAATGAACATTGAACACTTCCTCCTTCATACAACACAAAATTTGCAATGCAATCATTCACACACAAAAAAAGAAAGATAAGAATGACGCACACAAACAGCACAAAGGACCTAAGTAAATTGCTGTTAGGCTACAGAGTAGTGTACCAGTGGTTTGCCAATTGAAATGCAGAAAGTGATGGCTCCATTACGCCCATGACTACCTGGACTAGCGGTGTCACTGCAGGTCTGGCTACATTACAAATGCCAGCAGGCATTCATTAGTGGGCTTCTTGGATGCTAAAGGCCTGAACTGTACTTTAAGATAAGGCCCTCTGAACAGCAGATGAGCAGCCTGTACATGAACTCTACTGTTCAATCTGAAACTCTGAATGCTTTAGCACAAAGAGACTCTTCAGGGTTCATTTTTCACAACAGGTCTGACCAGGATGATAAGTATAGCAAATAAAAGTAGCAGTATTCTGTTTCTTCAGTATTACTGACCCTTTTCATCAGCACTTCAAAAAAATTATAAAGCAGAAAAAAATGAACAATACAGATTTTTTTTTTTTTTTTTTAGAAATGTGTGTAACCTTGCATTTGTTATACAGAAAACACAACATGAAGTTCACAAGACATGCATCAGGATATAAAGAACATAAAGAGTACCAAGGACTCAACAAAACACAGATATTTTGTAACAGGACAGTAAATGAAGGCACTCATTTGACCACCAAGAAACAAGAAAACAGATTAATCTGGTATATCACAGAAACATGAGTTTCAGATTAGGGGGCAGTATCTAGCACAATGGCATCTTCAGAGAGAACCTTAAATCTTCTTGGAATTAATGAGCTATATGAACTTACAGCCCTTAATTCTCCTTTTATCCTGAATGTAATTAAGTATTTCTGAGAGGAAAGTCCTGCAAATAGAATTAAGATAATACCTGCTTTCTTTCCAACCACGGGGGTTGTCACTGGAGTGGTAACAGCGGGTGCTGGTTCTGCTGCAGGTTTTGGAGATTTTAGAGCTGTAGAAAGAATAACAGTACTCATGTATTTGCTTTTATAAATTCTTTTAAGTATGATTTTCACTAAAACGTTCTGTAATGCACGTGAAACTTTCACTCCTCACAATACTGAAATTAAGATATTTGTATAATGTACTTTCAAATAGAAGTCTCTGAATGGGAAATACAAGATGCATGACAAAGAAAGCACTGCTATTCATGACTAAAGAAGTCTTACCTACTGCAGGTTTAGGTTCAGGTGCAGGAACTGGTATAGTTGCTGGCTTTGATTCTGGCATTTCAAACATAGCAATAACAAACAAGTTAATTTCCATGCTTTACAATCTCATTGAACTATAAGTTAGCAGCAACAATATGCAGAGAGTTAATGGAAGACAGACTTACTTTGTTGTTTTACACTTTATTTAGACAAAAAGCAAGAGATTAATTTGAGGCAGACCCTCTTAAATCAAGACACATAGAAAAAAAAAAGAAGTATTTTTCAAGCATTGAAGAAATAAAGATGAAAAAGAAACCCAGAAGAATGCAAAGTCATTAATCATGACAGAATAGTTATGGGTAGGCTGGATGACAGTAATGCATTATTTTAGTATAACATGACATTCTAAAACATTGTTTAGTTGAAGCAATAAGGAAAAGAGCCGCCACACATCTGTACCTTTTGGTGGTTCAGGCACATATTTCTCTTCTTTTTTTATGACAGGTATCTCGGTTTTCTTCTTAGGAATTTCTGGGACTTTAAAAGATTATTTTCACTTTTTAAGATATATTTAAATGCCTTGAATCCCCAAATATCACAGTCCCAAAATGTTTTAAAAAGTTTTCATTTTCTATATGATGTTTTCAAAGTTTAGGAATACGCATTTTTAAGAGTGAGACTTGAATAAATTAGAAACATTAAATGGACAAAATGACATATATTTGCAAGATTTTAACTAAACAAATATTTAGATTAATTAATTGTGTCAGTGCAGTTAGATTTTTATCAGTATTATAAAATATTTCTAAAATTCTCTATACAGAGCGAAGATTGAGAAACAGAATCATAAAATGCAGAATCCATACCCAAATGCGTGTGTCAAATTTGATCTTACATTCAGCATAGTTTTATTTCATATAAATAGACTAACGAAAGCTAACTCTGGCCTCCATTCCTGAATTTCAGAGAATACCGCTTGTAAGTGTTTTTTTTTTTTTTTTTAGCTCTTTCTTATCAGACAAATATGAATGTAATCTAGTACCTTCAGGTTTCTTAATTTTTTCTGTGGGTGTAGGTACTGGTTTAACTTCTGGTTTAGGTTCTTTCTCGGGCTTAGGTGCTTCCTCTTCTGGTGTCTTTTTAAGAACTTTAAAAGAAAAGGAATTTCAGTTTCTAAAGCACTAATAAACAAAAAGACGGTGAACAAGACAGAATATTAGACATATAATCACAATAAAGAAGAAATGGGACTATAAAACATATTTTTTAGTAGGAATGAAAGATTTTGTATAACTATTGAAGATATTATTGTGAAAGCATTTTTAATTTCAAAGTTATCTAAAGCATAAAGATGCTTTAGTTAGGAGAAGTTCCTCTAAGTAGAAAGGTATTTTTTAATCTACACTGCAAGAAAATTTCTTGTTGCAGTACCTTCAAGGAAAAGATATGATAGGTACATATTTCTAAGGAATAGCAGAAGTAATTACAATAATAAAGCGATTTTTTATAAAAGCTGTTCAAGTTGCATCTAACTCTTCATCGAGTAGAATATTGTTTAATAAGGAGACTTTATGAGAAGTTAATTTTAATCCTATCTTCAAATTAGCAATATGATATTAAAAATGCAGCAGGTTAAATAACATTGCTTCAGCTCACTTTAGGTATCGTACTTCGTATATGCATTATATTTAAATACTGAATTAACATAGATAATTATGCATTAATATTCCTGTTACCGGTCATTTTCAGGGATAAAATGAACAATTCTGTATTACACTCCTAATGACTTGAGTGAGGAAACAGGACTGAATCTCCTAACATAATAATGTTTGGAGAGTTCAAGTTTATATCATGCCTGGTTTTATTCCACCTATTTTTGTCCTGTTATATAGCTATCTTAGATATTTAATGAGACTGTCATCTAAAGAACTGAGTATCTATGTTTGATATTGTCAGATATTTGAAGTTCAGCTGCAATGTATATGGACATGAATAATCCTCCAATGGGAATTAATGCTTTCTCTTTTCAAAGCACTGAAATGAAATGATTTAGAAAGCTCCAGGCTTTGCAGGAAAAAATGATCAATGTTCAGAAAGAATGATTGATGTTCATTAGTACTTCTGGATCCCTAAGATCTGAAAACTACTACTAAGAATCCACAAATGAGAATATAGTTGCTACATATGTGATTTTTGACAATGTTTATACTGTCACTTGAAAATATTTAAGAGTCCAGAAAATTACCAACAACTTGGCAATCAACTTTCCAAAGAATAACAAAATGAAAGAAAAGTGTTACAGGGAACTAGACTCAGCATAATGCTCTGTTTTCACCATAGATCCTTCAGATTCGAAGAATTTTCAGAATGTCCCTACCTTATCATGAGGCTATAAACTCCTTCCCCAAGAAATGGACATCAGGTAGTACTCCATTCATGCAATTTTCTACACCACACACACAGAACAATACTAGTTGAAGAAACACACTGAACGACTGTAATACCCAGGCTGCTACAATACAGCAAAGTTACTATACCTCTTTTCAAAACAACTTCTTCTTTTGGAGGAGGGGTGACTTCAGGAATTACTCTGCGAGGTTTCTTTACAAGCCCAGGCACTTAAAAGAATATTATTTCATATTTTAATATGAGTTCATAGCAGTAATAAGAAGTAACCGACAATTAGCCACTCCAGACACTCACAGCTAGTTCAGCTGAACATTCAAACACATATAAACTACTGAGACATTTGTACTCAGCTGACTTAAAGGTCTATGCATAAGAGAAAATTCTCATACAAAGAGAAGTATGACAAAACTATAAAAGTTCAGTATTTAAAAGTAGTTGTCATATTTCTTTTTCATTATAGGCTTATGTTACCTTAGGTATTTATTTGAACTCCCAACCTATAATACTCAGCAGAATCAAGACAGTTTAATTTCTGATCTCTGAACTGTATTAAGAAGAGATGCTCACTGTATGAAGCTTAGCTTGCTTAAGCTTCACTGTATATAAAAAAAAATAGGGGACTACATATAAGGTGGTGGCCTACCGTGTAAATTAGAAAGGTTTGGTTAATTCATTATTCATCTCCAGCTATGGAAAGTTTTTTTCTCAGAAAATTAAGTTACATTTTAGGCAAATAGCAAATTAAATATATTTGAACAATGTTTGGATTACTTTTTTTAAAAAGCATTTAACCAGTGTGTTTATTTATTATTTCTGTCTAAACAAATATTAGAGTCAACTGTTCACCATTTCATATTTGGAAGCAAATTAAAGAAGCAGAGAAATACAATTCTGGGCTCATGAGAAACTTGAATGAGGTAAGGTGCTTCTATTGGATACCTTTAGCAGGTGGAGGTTCCAGTTTTGGAGGCTCCACGGGTTTTGGAGTCACCACTTTCTTTCTTGATTCAGGAGCTTAAATAAAATAATTTGAATTTTACTACACACATCCTTAGATTTAAAGAAGAAAATTGCTCCAAAAAAAAAAAAAAACAAACAACTGATTAATATTGTTGACACAATGCAAGGACAACAGATATAAAGTTAAGATTCTTGATAAGTAACTGTTTAGAAGAAGTGAGATGATATGGAAGAAGCATAGCTGATCTGAAACTCATGTTCATGTAGTAGCACCA